CACCTTTATTAAAACATGTGGTTTCACACAGGAGACAGCTGTTTATGTTACTAAACAACAAAGATGAAGAACTAAACTTACGTTTTCATGTGCGAATAGATGACTTTGACTACATTTTATTTGCAACCACTTCAAACATGAAGTGCTTTGGATCTGGTCAAGAAGGTCACATTATAAAAATGTGTCCTGATAGGGCCGAGCTGGCCCCTCCGGCTTTAGAAAGACAGCAGCATACGGCTGCTACCGAGTCGGAAGAGACTGAACGCAGCGAAGCCACTGCTGACAGGGAACCTGCTGCTGACAGGGAACCTGCTGCTGACAGGGAACCTGCTGCTGACAGGGAACCTGCTGCTGACAGAGAACCTGCTGCTGACAGGGAACCTGCTGCTGACAGGGAACCTGCTGCTGACAGGGAACCTGCTGCTGTTGCTACTGTGGCAGCGGTGAGGGAAACGGGGGTAGCAGAGGATGTGTTGGCGGAAGCCGTTGTGGAGGATTTGATGGAGGGTAGTGGAAAGAGCATGGGAACGGGGCGGAGGAAAGCACGGTGGTGGTGGACAGATTGGTGGTGTGGGTGAGAGTGTAGAGGCGGAGAGAAGGGAAATGCAGGAAGGGCAGGAGGAGGTGAAGGATGATGAGGAGCCTTTAGCGTGCGAGGCTAAAGAAGAGAGAGGAGAGGTGCAGAGAGAACAAGAAGAGCTGGGAGTTTTGGAAGAGCCTCAACTGAGTGGTGATGAGGGTGAGAGAGGAGAAGAACAGGTGGATGGACAGGTTCAAGGTAAAGATGACAAAGGAATGGCGACAGAAGAAGGAATGGGGGGAGACACAGGTGAGGCAGAGGAGGAGATGGAGTTAGGTTCTTGCGCCGCAGGAAGACGGCGTAGTCAAAGGAAAAATGTAGTCACTGCCGTTAAGGCAAGTAAACAAGCCAGTAAACAGGCCAGTAAACTGCCTGCAGAAAAAAGAGAAATGTCAGATAGCAGCGATGAAGAAAGTTGGTTCTCTGGTACCAGCAGGATCTCTGTGTCTCAATCCAGTAAAGAGCCGAGGTTTCCCATAGAAGCGTTCAGAACGTTTCTACAACAAACAAAGGATTACGAGGACTGAAATTAGAGAGCTATTTCCCGAATCTAAGAGAGTTTTATTTTCTGAGGCACTATATCAGACATAAGGAGACATCGGGTTTTACAGACACAGAAGTGTTTAGGTTAAAGAAAATAATGACTGAAGCAAGAAAACAATTTTAATGATGCATAGTGGATTTTTAATATGTATTATTTTTTAAGGTATGTTGTTTTTAGCCTATCACCCATTATGGATTCTTTTAAAATAGCATCATTGAATCTAAACGGGGCGAGGGAGGTTGAGAAACGCAGTTTAGTTGATCAAATGTTGAATCAGAAAAGAATTGACGTCATCTTTTTACAAGAAACACACAGTGATCAGTTACTGGAAACAGACTGGAGTAGAGAATGGAGAGGGGACGTAGTTTTAAGCCACGGCACCTCAAAGAGTGCAGGGGTGGGCCTCCTGTTGTCTAAAGCATTTGCCCCACTTACGACAGACATTGAACATGTCATACAAGGAAGATACCTTCTAGTAAAAACAAAATTTGAGTCTTTTAACATTGTTTTTATAAACATGTACGCTCCAATTGCCAATGCAGAGAAGAAACGTTTTTATGATAAAATTGGGGAGAGGTTGGGTGATTGCGGGACAGATGATTATATTTTTGTGGGAGGAGATTTTAATTGTACCGAGAATGAGTTTTTAGATGGCAACCATGCAGAGCCGCATCCGGCAGCCCAACGCGCTTTGAGGCAGCTGTCTCGTCTCACGGCCTGGTGGACGTATGGAGGAGGATGCATGCAGGCTCCAGGCAGTACACATGGTCCCATATTAAGGATAATAAAATCTCTTTAGCTTGTTTAGATCGTTTTTATTGTTTTAAACACCATTTTAACGTGTTTAAAAAATGTCAGATTTGCCAGTGGCTTTCACAGACCATTCTTGCTTTTAGGGAGTGTTTTTATCAGGAACATTTTACCTAGAAGCGCATACTGGCACTTCAATTCTGCGTTGACGCACGATCAGAGTTTTAGAGGTTTTAATTTATTTTTGGTTTTAGACAAAGGAAAGCTGGATTTAGCTCTCTTAAACAATGGTGGGAATATGGAAAAGTTCAGATCAAACTGCTGACTCAGCAGCATACTGTCAATGTCACTCGTGACATCGCCGGATCTATCAGAGATCTGGAGATCAGCATTGTGGAATTAGAACGCCTTAGTGACTTCACAGGAAATCGAGAGCATGTTGAAGCTCTCAAATCTAAAAAGCTAGACTTAGCAAACCTGTTGGAGAGTAAAGTCCAAGGCGCGTTGGTCAGGTCCCGGATTCAGAACATCTCGGAGATGGATGCTCCCTCTGGCTTTTTTTCAGCTTGGAGAGGAAGCACGGTCAGAGGAAATTGATCCACTCCTTGCTGTCAGACACGGGGCAGCAATTGAGTGAACCAGGGCAGATCAGAGAGAGGGCTGTGAGTTTTTTCCGTTCTCTGTTCTGCAGCGAATTCAAGGAGAACGAGGAACTGTTCGAGGAGTTCTGCAGTGAACTACCTCAGGTCTCTTAAATTTTAATATTATTTTAAATTCCTCCTGCACAACTTTCCTCCTAACTATCCTTTCTTCCTCTGAACAACTTCCTTCCAGTTCTCGTTTACTTCCTTGTATATCACAAATTCCCTTTCCTTCATCTATTTTATTTCTTCCATGTCCTCTCCCTCTTCCTCTGTCCACTGGCGTCCACCCATCAAAATCCATGTCTTCCTCATCTCCTATCTTCATTTCCAACAGAACCATTCACATTCCAGTTTATGCTCAATCCGCCTTTTCCAATTTCGATATGCTATTTGTTTTCTCCTCTCTCGGCTCCCTCCACTTTTTCCGACTCGAAACCGAACCCCAGCGCCACACCTGGCCATCATCCTCCATCTTCCCCTTTATGCAGCCTCAGGCTGTGGGGAGAGCAACACCTAATGGTGCCACCTGTTACATGCATATGTCACTCTGCAGGTAGTTGAACTGTCAATTATTCCAGGTATGAAAAGTTATCTGGGAATGTCAGATGAGGCAAATGTTCAGGGTCTCTGCACCAACTTTTGATTTCAAACGGGATGATATCTCCAACTTTAGCTATTTTTTACATGTAGCTTTTTGGCTTCTGGGAGAAGCTTTCTGTGATATAATCCTCTTTCTTTCAAGCAGCTTTTCAGCATTAGAAAGAGGAGGATACAGCGGTAACGCAATAAAAACACAGGAAAAAGTTTGTTTTGGTCTGTGGCCAAACAACATGGCACCGAGCGACGTAAAGGTCACACGCAGTGAGGTCAGCTCCAAAGCTCTATATGTTGCTTGGTTTTTTTTAAACCTTGAAAACATGACATTCCTCCCAAATAAAATCAGAAAAATACATAAAAAGAGCAAAACATGAAACAAAAACTTTCTATTTTTAATTTCTCATTCTTGATTTTATAATTTTATGCTAATATGATTGATAACTAAAACTGTAATAAGACTTTGTTGTTGTTTTATTACTCAGTTCCAGGTGTTTTATGACCTCAGTGGATCTGTGACCTAAAAACAGAAATTACTCAACAGGCAAAGAAACCCAAAAGGAAACCATCAAAGAGAGGGAAATTCCCTTCATATGAGGAACTTTAGAAAGATATAAACTCTTAAAGGGACTTATTTCAAAACAGAATTTATGTTTTTATCAAACAGATTTTTAATTATGATCTTTATTTAGTCCGTTTTCTGGTTATTTATCCCGGAATCCCAGATCCAATCCAATAGTCCCCTATGATCTGTTGCCCCCTAGTGGACATTAGAGAGAAATGCTCCTTTTTCAAACATTTAGTTTCAAAGCTGGAAATTGATAAACAGCTCCATCTAGCGATCACACAAAGAAATACACAACTTTATGGCTTCTTTAAGAAGGCTAGTCAATAATGTTTTGTGTTTTCTGTATCAATAACGGCACAAAAACGATGAAAGTATGTTTTTAAACTATTTTCTTATGAATTGTCCACAGTCAGTAGAAAACTGCTGTAAAGTTTTAGAGGTTGAACATAAAAATAAAAGCCAAGACGAAAACTAATAAGCAATTACTTTGGGGAAATTATATTTATTTATTTTTTTAAATGTACAAATACAAATCTGAAAATTGTGGTGTACATTTATATTCCAATGCTTTCACTACAGCGCCTCCTGCACCTCCTCCTGCACCAGCTGGTACTTTCAAAACGTTCATTTCCAGGATTCCAACCACAGATGGATGTTGGAGGAATGTGTTGAATGGTCGGTCATCACACACGTCTTCTGGTTCTGACCACAAATAAAGACTTTCTGGGAGGACATGAAACAGGAGATTGAGGACATTCTGAGGACAGATCTCCCCATGGAGCCTCTTCTGTTTCTGCTGGACATAAACACCAAGGATTTACTCACTAAACATCAATGTTACATATTGTTGCACCTTCTGCTGCTGGTAGCAAGAAAGACAATTAGACTAAACTGGATTAAACCCAGTTCACCAACTGTTGCTGAATGGAGGAAAAACTGAAACATGACAACATGATGGAGCGTCTGACTGAACAACTAGACATGAAAAAGACAATTAAATATGTAATTTTGAAAATAAATATCACATTTGAAAATCAAATGTTAATTTGTAAATAATTTTTTGTTTGCAAAATAAATATTTATTTTGAAGCTAAATATTTAGTTTGTATGCATTTTGAATTTTTTCTGTGAAATGCTAAATCAAAATATTGATGTTATTTTTTTTTTACAATAATTTCTACATTCATGGTCAAAACTAAGTATATCATCAGAACATCATGAAAACTTTACAACCTGCCTTTGATTTCACTGCGGAGTTTCCATTTCCTGGTTCTGTTGCTCGACATCATCAGTCACGCAACACCCGTTACATTTACTTTCGTTTTGAATTCACTGGAGTTGGGTTGTTGCCTCTCTTTGCTGTTCATTTATTCTTCATCAACTCTTTAGATCATTTGAACAAACTGTAAGTTTATGTTTTATTTTTGGTCTTTGTCTTCAGGAACTTTAATATTTCTGTGTAATCTGTGGAAGATTCACTTCTGGTTTCAGCTCAAAGTTTCATTTCTGCTGTTTGAAAATTAATCTGCAGGATCATTAGATTACAAATTAACTGAAATCAAACAACATGATGAATATCTGATGTTTCTTTGTTTTCTCTGAACAAACGGCTTCATGATTTTATTTCCAGGAATCAAACTTTGGTCAGAACAGTTTCCTGCTGCATCCTTTCAAAATAAAAAAAATATATACTATTATTAAAAACTATTAATGTAGAAATGTGTTCAGTTCTGTCAGATTATTGAATAGTTAAAATTTCTGGTTGCATTTAATCCACTTGTAGAGTTTAATAATTAACTAAAATCCTTCCTGTTGTTCAGGTTGAATCAGTGAATGTAAATGTTGCTCCATGTCTCCATCTAGTGGACTGATAGTAGAAGTGCAGCAGCTGATGGCAGCTTCCTCTGCCTCTCTGCTGTCTGACTGCATTCACCTGACACTGATATGAAGCAGAGAAGAAGAGCCAATCAGAGGAGGAGCAGCTGATCTTTTTCCAGCACTAATGATGTAAAGGATGATCAGAGTTGATGTGCAGATGAATGATGTGTGTTTCCTCTGCAGGTGAAGCTAGAAAGTGTGTGTGAGCTGATGTGGATTCAGCAGCATGGATCAGTGTGAGGACAGAGAGGAGGGAGTCCCTCCCTCTAAAACCACTCTGTGTGGGGAAGATGAGAGCCAGAGCAAAGGTCAGAGGTGAGGTCACCATCTCTAACTGTCCACAGCCCTTTTCACACAGCGTTCACTATATCAGGCCAGAACAGACGTGGTGATGAAGCTGCTGCTGCTCCTCTTTGCTGATTCAGTTTTAATCATCATGTTTCTGTCAGGATCCATCAGAGACTCAAACCAGAACCAGAACCAGAACCAGAACCCAGCTGTGTGTCCTTTAAGAGCAACAGGTCAATGTATGGGATCATTGACTTTAAATCTCCTGGATCTCCACCATCAGAGAGGTGAGATGTTTCTACCTGCTGTAACTGTAGAAACTGAACCAGTATGAATATCCCAGTTTAATTTATTCATCAAAGTTACACATGAAATAGGGCGATCGCTAGTATGTCATTTCCTTTAACCTTAGCTTTGCATGTGTGTAACTCTATGTGTGTATTTATGTAAATACAAACATACAAATAGCTAAGAGATGGAGGAAAACTCAGAATTATTTATTTTCAACAGGATTTCCAGGATACATTATAAAAAAACTCTCATTATAACACCCAGTAGAGGACCGCACATTGACACACACCCACATATTATAATCAATCAATTTTATTTATAAAGCACCTTCATATTGAAAGCAGCTCAAAGTGCTCAGTCCTCCTTATTATCCACATCATCTCAGATCTAATCATCAGAACATGATTGATGTCCCACATTATCCTGAAGACCTGTGTGGACAGAGCCTTCACTTCCACTGTCCCCAAGCTCTGGGACATTGTCTCCACCAGCATTACAGTGGGGCAAAAAAGTATTTAGTCAGCCACCAATTGTGCAAGTTCTCCCACTTAAAAAGATGAGAGAGGCCTGTAATTGTCATCATAGATAAACCTCAACTATGAGAGACAAACGAGAAAAAAAATTCAGAATATCACATTGTCTGATTATTAAAGAATTTATTTGCAAAATATGGTGGAAAATAAGTATTTGATCAGCTACAAAAAAGCAAGATTCTGGCTCTCACAGACCTGTAACTTCTTCTGTAAGAGGCTCCTCTGTCTTCCACTCATTACCTGTATTAATGGCACTTGTTTGAACTCGTTATCAATATAAAAGACACCTGTCCACAACCTCAAACAGTCACACTCTAACCTCCACCATGGGCAAAACTAGAGAGCTGTCAAAGGACACCCGAAACAAAATTATAGACCTGCACCAGGCTGGGAAGACTGAATCTGCAATAGGTAAACAACTTGGTGTGAAGAAATCAACTGTGGGATCAATTATTAGAAAATGGAACACATACAAGATCACTGATAATCTCCCTCGATCTGGGGTTCCACGCAAGATCTCATCCCGTGGGGTCAACATGATCACAAGAACGGTGAATAAAAATCCCAGAACCACATGGGAGAACCTGGTGAATGACCTGCAGAGAGCTGGGACCAAAGTAACAAAGGCTACCATCAGTAACACACTACGCCGCCAGGGACTCAAATCCTGCAGTGCCAGACGTGACCCCCTGCTTAAGCCAGAACATGTAAAGGCCCGTCTCAAGTTTGCTAGAGAGCATTTGGATGATCCAGAAGATGACTGGGAGAATATCATATGGTCAGATGAAACCAAAATAGAACTTTTTGGTAAAAACTCTACTTGTCATATTTGGAGGAGAAAGAATACTGAGTTGCCTCCAAAGAACACCATACCCACTGTGAAGCATGGGGGTGGACACATCATGCTTTGGGGCTGTTTTTCTGCTAAGAGACCAGGACGACTGATCCGTGCAAAGGAAAGAATGAATGGGGCCATGTATCGTCACATTTTGAGTGAAAACCTCTTCCATCAGTAAGGGCATTGAAGATAAAAAGTGGCTGGGTCTTTCAGCATGACAATGATCCCAAACACACCGCCCGGGTAACACAGGAGTGGCTTCGTCAGAAGCATTTCAAGGTCCTGGAGTGGCCTAGCCAGTCTCCAGATCTCAACCCCATAGAAAATCTTTAGAGGGAGTTGAAAGTCCGAGTTGCCCAGCGACAGCCCCAGAACATCACTGCTGTAGAAGAGATCTGCATGGAGGAATGGACCAAAATATCAGCAACAGAGTGTGAAAATCTTGTGAAGACTTACAGGAAACGTTTGATCTCTGTCATTGCCTAAAAAGGGTACATAAAGTACTGAGATGAACTTTTTTTATTGACCAAATACTTATTTTCCACCATATTTGTTTTTCTGCTTCAAGTATTTTTAGTGTGAAACTCTTGGTGATTTCCTCTGTGAAAACTGCTGGATGAATATTTCCAGACTTCCTAATTGTTCCTGGTTCCTCCACAGAGTGGACAAGCAGAGCTCAGAGGTTCCCAGTGGTCCATCTGTCCAGCAGCATCAAACACAGCTGGACTCCATATTATGGTCTGTAAATGTACAACTACTTTTCTATGGGTTCTGTTCACATTCATCTCCATGCTGCACTTTGTAGACCAGAGGACTGTCAGTCTGTCCAACATCCATCTGGTGTTTGGCTCCATGATTTCAGTCCCATGTGTCCATCTATTATTCTGTTCCAGCTGCTGGAGGAAAACATTGTCACTTTTGTGAAGAACGAGTTGAAGAAGATTAAAAGGTTCTGAGACCAGATTACCCAGAATGCTCAGAGAGTCAGAAAGATGATGAGGTGTTGGAAGGTGATGATGAAGAGCAGAGGAGGAGCAGCAGAGAGGCAGTGATGAAGATCACACTGAACTTCCTGAGGAGGATGAAGCAGGAGGAGCTGGCTGACCGTCTGCAGAGCAGTAAGAGGATTTCTACAAAGATTTAACCAGATGGATAAATCAGACATTTACTGATGTATGAAAAGATGGAATCACATTTACTCAAACCTCTTCAAAATATAATATTTATTTGTTCCTGATTTTATTTTTAATATTTATTTAGACCGTCTTGCTGCAGTTTGTCAACATCAACTTAAATCTGGTCTGAAGAAGAAGTTCCAGTCTGTGTTTGAGGGAATTGCTAAAGCAGGAAGTCCAACCCTTCTGAACCAGATCTACACAGAGCTCTACATCACAGAGGGAGGGACTGGAGAGGTCAATGATGAACATGAGGTCAGACAGATTGAAACAGCATCCAGAAAACCACACAGACCAGAAACAACAATCAGACAAGAAGACATCTTTAAAGTCCCACCTGGAAGAGATCAACCAATCAGAACAGTGATGACAAAGGGAGTGGCTGGCATTGGGAAAACAGTCCTAACACAGAAGTTCACTCTGGACTGGGCTGAAGACAAAGCCACCAGAACATCCAGTTCATATTTCCATTCACCTTCAGAGAGCTGAATGTGCTGAAAGAGAAAGTTCAGCTTGGTGGAACTTGTTCATCATTTCTTTACTGAAACCAAAGAAATCTGCAGCTTTGAACACTTCCAGGTTCTGTTCATCTTTGATGGCTTGGATGAGAGTCGACTTCCACTGGACTTCCACAACAAGGAGATCCTGACTGATGCTACAGAGTCCACCTCAGTGGATGTTCTGCTGACAAACCTCATCAGGGGGAAACTGCTTCCCTCTGCTCTCCTCTGGATAACCACACGACCTGCAGCAGCCAATCAGATCCCTCCTCAGTGTGTTGGCATGGTGACAGAGGTCAGAGGGTTCAATGACCCTCAGAAGGAGGAGTACTTCAGGAAGAGATTCAGAGATGAGGAGCAGGCCAGAGGATCATCTCCCACATGAAGACATCACGAAGCCTCCACATCATGTGTCACATCCCAGTCTTCTGCTGGATCACTGCTACAGTTCTGGAGGATGTGTTGGAAACCAGAGAGGGGGAGAGCTGCCCAGAACCCTGACTGACATGTACATCCACTTCCTGGTGGTTCAGACCAAAGTGAAGAAGGTCAAGTATGATGGAGGAGCTGAAACAGATCCACACTGGAGTCCAGAGAGCAGGAAGATGATAAAGTCCCTGGGAAAACTGGCTTTGATCAGCTGCAGAAAGGAAACCTGATCTTCTATGAATCAGACCTGACAGAGTGTGGCATCGATATCAGAGCAGCCTCAGTGTACTCAGGAGTGTTCACACAGATCTTTAAAGAGGAGAGAGGTCTGTACCAGGACAAGGTGTTCTGCTTCATCCATCTGAGTGTTCAGGAGTTTCTGGCTGCTCTTCATGTTCATCTGACCTTCATCAACTCTGGTATAAACCTGATGGAAGAAAATCAAACATATGAGAACCTTTCATTATCTAGAGACTCTAAACTAAATTCTCTCCATCAGAGAGCTGTTGACCAGGCCTTACAGAGTCCAAATGGACACCTGGACTTGTTCCTTCGTTTCCTCCTGGGACTTTCACTGCAGACCAATCAGAGACTCCTACAAGGTCTGCTGACACAGACAGGAAGTAGATCACAGACCAATCAGGAAACAGTTCAGTACATCAAGAAGAAGATCAATGAGAATGTGTCTGCAGAGAAAAGCATCAATCTGTTCCACTGTCTGAATGAACTGAATGATCGTTCTCTAGTGGAGGAGATCCAACAGTCTCTGAGTTCAGGAAGTCTCTCCACAGATAAACTGTCTCCTGCTCAGTGGTCAGCTCTGGGTTTCATCTTAGTGTCATCAGGAAAAGATCTGGATGTGTTTGACCTGAAGAAATACTTTGCTTCAGAGGAGGTTCTTCTGAGGCTGCTGCCAGTGGTTAAAGCCTCCAACAAAGCTCTGTAAGGACACAGATTGTTACTGCAGTTATTTTTGATAAAAATCTGTCAGTGATGAGATAAATATTGACTCATGCTTCATCAGTTTGTTTACTCAATGTTGTCCTCTAGCAGATGATGAGTAAAAGAGAAACCGGCTCTCATAGGTGATTATTCATAAGGCTACATGTTCAAGCAACAGAAATTATTTTTCCTATTGAAGCTGACACTGGATTAACGCAGTTCATTATAAAAAAGTATCTCTTTCTTGCCAGCCTCCTTGATGGCTGCTGTATTGCAGTCTTTTAAGGCTGGAGGCCCAAGTATAGAATGAACCATTTCATAGTACATGTATCATAACGATGTGGACAATATATTTTTTCAACCTGTGTAAAAAGAATATTGTTGACTGGAATAAAAAGCATAATTTGAAGAATTATTTAATATTTTCCTCCCTGTCTCCTCAGACTGAGTGGCTGTAACCTCTCAGAGAGAAGCTGTGAAGCTCTGTCCTCAGTTCTCAGCTCCCAGTCCTCCAGTCTCAGAGAACTGGACCTGAGTAACAACAACCTGCAGGATTCAGGAGTGAAGCTTCTC